GATGTTGATGTTGTAGACCTAAACCCCTAACCCCCAAACCCTAAACCCTAACCCCTAAACCGTAAACCCCCTAAACCCAAAACCCTAAACCCTCATCTAAAACCCAAAGCCGAAACCTAAACGGCTTACCCCCTGGAGTCGGAGTCGGAGGGCTGTTTTGGGGTCTCCGCGACTTGTGAAGAGCCTCTGGTCTCCGATGTTGTTAAGTCTGTAAGATAGGGTTTAGGGTTTAGGGTTTAGGGTTTGGGGTTTAGGGTTTAGGGGTTTGGGGTTTAGGGTTTGGGCTTTAGGCTTTAGGGTTTGAGGTTTGGGGTTTAGGGTTTAGGGCTTAGGGTATAGGTAGCGAAAGGTGATGCTGGTGCCGGTTTTGGGGCAGAAGAGCGGCGGGGAAGGCCCAGGACGACTACGAAGGTCGGGGCAGAGGATTCCCGCACTAGCGACGACCGCAAAGACCAGAAGATATCAGATAACGGTTTAGGGTTTAGGGGTTTAGGGTTTAGGGTTTAGGGTTTGGGGTTTAGGGTCTAGGGTCTTGAGTTCAGGGTTTAGGGTTTAGGGCCTACTATTGAATACTGCATTGGGCTCCCTCATGTTGCTGGTCTGGTTGCCTGCGCCTCGGCCGCAGGCCGCCTCGCTCGTCCCGCCTGTCTGGAAAGAGAACTCTGTGGAGAACAGCAGGAAAAGTCGCACTGAGGACACTTTCGAAAGTTTGTGTTTCTATGCTGAAGGGTTTGGCGGCTGTCGTTTTGGTTGAGTGCTCAGCTGCATCTGGTGCCTACAAAACCGGGGCAGTGTCGTGAGCTTCGACAGTTTAACAACGATCACTAACACCGATAAAACGATGGCGTGACGTCGACAACATCGCTAATGACGATAGCAACTAGACAAAATAACCAACACCTAAAACTGCAAATAGCATTCGTGAAAGCTGCAATAACTGTTGAGAGCTCTTGTGCGCTCCTTCCCCCGCACTGCTTTTTTTCACTTCACGATCCAGAACAGCTGGTCGGCACCAAGGAACAAATGGCGTCCGTGGCGCGCAGCAAAAGCCAGGGCAGCCCCAACGATGTCATTGAACTTCTCATAGCTTGTGTGGACATGGTAGAAGTCATGACCTAGCAGAATGCCCCCACTGCGGAGGAGAGCCCAGTAGCTTTCAAGATGATGCAGGACAACTTGAAAGCTCCCGGGGCTCGCATCGAGAAAAGCCACATCCAGGCTGCCAGGAACAAAGCGCGTTGAAGCCACGGTCGCGTTGGCGAAGTGGAGGAAGACCCGTCCGTCAATCCTATTGCCAAGGATTCAACGACAAGTGATGCGGCCAAGAGAGCAAGGATTTGAAGGAGGTCTCCTGTTCATTCATAAAAACTGTAGTAACACCAAACGCCACTCGATGTTCAGCACACGTAGTACGACTTGCTGCAACGATGAAAGTAAGACTAGCAGTAGCCCTGGCAGCAGTAGCGACAGGAGTAGTAGAAGTAGCAGCAGCAGGAGTAACAGCAGTGGCAGGAGGAGGAGTAGGGGCAGCCGCAGGAGTAGCCCCTGCAGTAGTTGTTAGTAGCAGTTGTAGTCGTAATTAGTAGTACTCGTCGTCGTAGTAGTAGTGATACTAGTTACAATACTCATAATACTAATAATAGTACCAGTAATAGTAATAATCGTAGTAACAGTAGCACTACTACTTATGGTTGCCTGTATAGATGTAGGTAGTAGCAGCATCACCAGCATGATGATCATCAACGACAACATGAATCATATGGCCACCACCATCATTAGCAAAACTATTATCATGATAATCGCCGTGCTCACCTAACTTCTGCGACGGTGACTATATGTGAAGCTAAGCATATCATCACCAACAACAACTGGTATTGCAACTGCTACCGACTGTTGTGCTGAATGGCTCATGGTGCTGCTTGCGCTTTCGGTTCTGATCTTGCTGTTAGCCCTGCGTTTACGTCGAGGGCTCGGAGCCTTCAGGTTTCGATGCCGCGCCTGTCAGGAGGCTCGAGGCACACGAAGCGAGCTGCCTCAGCCCGTCGCAGGGAACCCGGATTGGCATTTCCGAGTGGGTGCGTGGAGCTGGTGAGCGGCATCAGGGAGCTGTGGCTGTGGAAGCAGCTTGACCAACGCTGGGATTGTGCAGCGCTCGCCACCCGCGCACCTGGGCAGGGGAGATCGCGGCCGCAATTCGGGGCTTCTGCGGACACAGTTTCGTTGAGAGTTTGTCTCATGCGTGCTGCGCCTGCCAGTTGCAGGAGCCACCTGTCCGGCTCAATGAGGTGCATCTCCTCCAATGCCACAGGCCGAGGAATCTGACTCTCTCGCAAAACTCCGTCCCGTGAAGCTCTCATCGCGACCCCTTTCAAATCAAGCTTTCAGGCACCAGCCGAGCCAAACGCGGACTGCAAGTCAAAGTATGCTCAAATTTATCTAGATAAAGAATCACCAATCATGCGCTACTTCGTCCTCAAACTTAGTCTCAGCCTCGTCGTCC